ACTTAAATCCGGCGAATAAGGGGGGTGGCTTAACACATTGACCTTTTCTTCAGCGAAAAAGTTAACAACCCCCTTCCTTTTATGCGCGGGGGCATTATCATGTAGTAAATTAACTCCCCTTATTCCAGTACTTGGACGTTTCTTTTTATAAATTTTTTTTATTCTTTTTAACACAACGTTCTTATAATATGTTCCAGTGATTGATTTTCCAGATTGTGATGGTATCTGAATAACTGGACCAAGATGATTGAAAAAAATGGTGTACATGACTTTCTTTGAGCTTTTCTGCCGTTTAGCCACTACTGGACGTTTTTGATTTTTTCCTCTCCATTGTTTATTATCACCCCTCCTTTGTGGCAAACATGTAGACCCAAGTCTCATCTCCAGTTAACATATTAGAAATAGTCCTGCTGTCAAATGTTTTGAACTCTTTAAGGAGTTTTTTTGAACACATGACTCTCATTTTTTTCTGGTCATTGGTCAGTAAATGGGGCACCCAACGTGCACATACCTTTTTAAGTCCAAGTTTTTTTGACAGAATTTCATGAACACTTCCTTCTGAAATGCCAACACTATTAGCCATATCCTTTACTGTATAATGGCCATCTTCTTCCACCAATGCTTTCACAGCAGCCACATGCTTATCAGTCACTGACGACTTCGGACGTCCACTTTGATGACAATCTTTAATCACAGAAAGCCCACCTTTAAATTTTTTCGCCCACCTACAAACTGTCATAAATGATACCACAGAATGTCCATAAATACCATTCAGCTCATTGTAAATGTCTTTTGGAGATATATGCAAAGCAGTGCGACTTTTAATATAAGTGCGTACTTCAACTTTTTAATGTCGTTTCATTGTTATTTCCAAAAAATGGCCAGTGTATATGAGTGACACTTCTTCAAAACTGAATAATTTTGTCATTATTGCATCAATTTGCACGTGTTTTTCGTGCTTATATAGTGTGAATATTTATGTACATTAATGTATAGGTTTATTGAAGCAAAACCGTCGATTACGCTACGGAAGACCATTGGTAACAAAACTTTTTGAATAAACCTCGTATGATAAATAAGGACAGGAAATGCATTCTCAACCAACAATATTTTAGACAATACACTATTACAAACATCTTATACTGAGGAAAAAGGCACTCCGATTGAGGTATTACCCATGGATTTGACTGCAGGAGGATTTCACAAATCTATACTTGGGCAGTCAAATCAGTTGTATACCCTCATATACCAGAGACAACAGTCCAAATTCACCAGTGGGTGTTTAACTCATAGTTCATCTCTCCCAACAGCCCTAGCTTGAAATGGTGTACCACTTCGTACACATCAAATGAGTACCTAAGAACCAACTCTATAAAAAGCTCCCATGAGAAAATTTCAGTCCAAGCTTTTTCTTATGACTGTAAGGATCAATTAACTTAAAGACTTAAAACCTCATGACAGCCTTCGTCATTACATACAAGAGGTGACTAGACATACAAACCTGCATGGCTTACAACCAGTTCTAGCCTAAAATAAAATACCTAAATATAGCCATAGGGGACTTTTTAAAATATTTATTATTTATTTTCCTATGTACCGTATAAGTGGTTTTTTCTGCAGTGACTTTATTTCTGCGTTTTCTGCGATCAGTTTTCGGAACCACAGAATATTTCTCTTACCTGCTACAATATGTATCCTACATTGTGACCTGTTTTGTCTAAAGTAATAGCAAGTAACAGATACATGTAATAACGGTTAGCAGGTTTTCGAGTTGTATAAAATTGCTGTCCCCTATGTATGTAATCTGTGTTTGTAAGGATGTACGTATTGTTAATTGTGCTAATTTAAGAATAAAGATATTTCAAACCATTCCAACCCTTATACTGCTAAATAATCGTTGTATACTTTAATTGTCATCTGATTTACAGTAAATTTCTATCAATTTTATTAAATTAAAGATACTACCGGGGTATATTTTTCACATGTCACTTCATGCTGATCAAAGATGTTATACCTTTCTATTGTTGGCATTATATGTGTTTGCAAGCAAACAATATAATTGTATGTAATTACTATACAGTTTTGCGGTGACGACGATAAACAAATGCCAACGTGTACATGCAAATAAATAGATAGGGTAATGTGACTTAGACTTTGATAAGACGAGTCGCAGAATTTTAAAATCACATTTTGTCAAAAGAATGTGTCACAGAAATAAAGTCAGCAAAAAATAAAAACATGCCAAAATTTGGAAAAAAACGCAGAATTTGGAGCTCGCAGAAAAAAACACTTAACACGGGGTAACATGTATGTTAACTTGTTTTGTCACTAATTCCTTGTTAAGAATAATAAAAAAGCGTCTCAAATCCTTAATTATTGAACTTGTCTCAGACTGCTTAAGTCAGGGTCTGCTGTTTAATAAATAGTAGATATTTTGTTTGTTTTGCATGTAAGATTGAAATATATTTCACTGAGAGAACATCAGATGCAATATTTTTCTTTTTTTTAACTGATATTGCCGTGTAAGGTCCCACATTCTCCTTTTTGATGCCATCACCTCATGGCGTCACATCATGATGTCACATTATCAATTTTGAAATATAGTTCTGTTAAATTTTCTCAAATTATGTTACATTTTTAACATGATGTATGCTAACATCGACTTTCTTTTCCCAAAAAAGCAAAATTTATGTATGACTGCATTTATTTCTGCCTGTTATTCTATTTAGTTATGATATTCTTTTCATTAGCATTCAGACATAGTCTGGCTACAGTGAAATTATATATTATAAATTTCACTAGTGGTTTATCAGAATATAAACATCTGATATATTACAGTAAAACACTGGAAAGCATGAAATAAATGTGGTTTATCAGTTTGCACACCTTTATATAAGCACACTGACACTCTTATTAGCTAATGATAGTCTACAGAAACACATATGGATTGATACCAACCTGCTGAATAGCATGGGTAATAAGGGTTTCCAGTGAAGTTGTTTCTCTTTATTCTATTTACTGTAAACCTGAACAAGAGCCACCGCTGGGCGGGGCAATGCTTGACTTTTTTACTTTTTCTAAAAGCAAACAAATAAACGATTTAAACAAATCTTTTAACAAAATTAAAGAAAAGAAATAAAGTTTTCCCTTTTTTTAAATTCTAATAGGTCTGTCTAGTCACACTTTTTGTTTTGTTCATCCAAGTTTTTATCTTTTCTATAAATAAATGACAAAGTTAAGAAAATATAATCACAATTCAATCATTTGACAGTCAAGATCATTTAAAGGTCAAGGTCATATCTAAATTATTCAACATGTATGTTGGGTCATAAGTGTTGTTTTGTCCACATATGAAGCAAATCCGTACATAAATAGATCTAACAAAATCTTAACCAAAATTCAATACTTTGACCTTAATGGTCAAAGTGATTTAAATGTCAAGTTCATTTAAACTTTTTAGAATGTCTTGTCTAAAAGGTTATTTTGTACAAGTATGAAAATAATCCATCGATTAATTACAAAGTTATAGCCAAGTATAACTATAATCAGTGAAAATAAAACAATTTGAACTTCAAGGTCAAGGTCATTTAAAAGTCCAGTCAAACTTTTCAAAGGTCTTGTCTAAAATGTTGTTTTTGTCAAAGTATGAAGATAATCCAGTAATTAATTACCAAGTTACAGTCAATTATAGCAAAAATCAGTGAAAATTCAATAATATAAACTTCAAGGTCAAGGTCATAACAGAGCCAAGATAAATTTGGGTTTATTGTACATGAAGATCTTATCTTAAAAAATGTTCTTCTATAATATGATGTCAATCGATTCAATAATAACAAAGTTATAGACAGTTACAGCAAAAAAAAAGAAAATATCATTAATTTGACCTTCATGGTCAAATGTCATTTGTGAGTGAAGGTCAAGGTCTGTCTAGTAAACTTGAAGGTCTATCCTGAAAGATTATTATGTTCAAGTTTGAAGACAATCAATTCTAAAATAACAAAGTTATAACCACTAATAGAAAAAAAATCAGCAAAAGAAAACAAGCAAAATTTAGACATTTATCCTTGAAGGTCAAGGTCATTTATGAATGAAGGTTAGGCTGGTCTACTTAAAGGTCTTGTCCTAAGGGTTATTGTGGCCAAGTATGAAGACAATTAGCCTAATTAATTTGGCGTGAACGGTTTGACCCATTTTACAGACTTTTCTTTCTTACTGTCAAACCGTTACCGTTGGAAAAAGACAGCGCCCGTCCAAAATTTTCTCGGTGTCTCTTTGACAAGTCTAATTAGTTGGACTAGAAGACAATACACCAAGTACTTCATTATCAAGGTACACGTTTGCGGACCGCAGCGGCAACATCGACATGACTGTACATAACAATAACTCTATTTTTATTGTTATAAAAGTCAAGCTTAAAATCATTAGGTACTGACTGGGGTTTGAACCTCAGATCTTTCAATTACTAGGTGGACATATATGAAAGGAATAAAGTTGGAAAAATTAAATAAAAAAAATAAGGCACAGTTTTCTTCTATGGTTGGACCTATATTTGGTAACATTTTGCAGTATCAGCCTTGCAATTTTTGTTTTTGACTTTTTAATTCGAGGTCTGTTTTATACCAAAGTAAAGTTTGCATCTGTTGTCGTGTTGATCGAGTGTTCGTTCTATCACACCTGACTTAAAGTTCGTAAAGCCTCTCAATGGTTTGATAGGACTATTTTAACGAGTTTAAACAACAAAGGCACCGGTAACAAAAGTAGTTTCTAATTCCTACACATTACACTAGAAATGAAGTTAAAAACGTACAGGTTTCAAACCATTTTTATTCCGAGCAAACACTGGGACTCCTCCACTAGCTGTCAAACAAAATATATATGCAACCATCGCCACAGAAAAACCGAGTTTCTTTCTGTCTCTGTTTATGGTTTGTTTGATTACATTTTTTCTTTGAAGAATAATAAAAGCTTACAAGGAGATAATATTCAATGATACACTTCCCTTTTATACAATACCATCCTCACAATTTCTTAATTTTGTGCAAATCAATACCCTTCAAACGTTTTAATTGGCTGAAACAACGGTAGGACTCTTTCAAACAAATTACGAATGTTTAATTCATTAGGTTGATTCGGGTAAAAAGTGAATCAAACACAGTTATATACATGAGTAGCGTCTGCATGTGCGATTTTATGAAAATAAAGAAAATGTGATTTTTTTCAAATGTGAAAAAAATGAAATGAAATTTCGATAATTTAAGGCAACTGTTGTGCAGGTCATATCTTCTGCGATTGACTTGCATTCATTATGACGTAGTGCTTGTGCCATTGACGTGACTTAGCTGTAAGTTTCGAACTCGCGTCAATGCAAAACTAAAGCATTTTGACATTTTCGCATGCTGGGATAGTTTACCGGGTTTAGCATGCTGCTAAGTAGGTAAACTGCTGCTAAGTAGGTAAAAAATAGGGATAACTCTCCATCGTCTGTCCGTCTCTCCGTCCGTTCGTCATAAAAAAATGTCCGGACTACAGAATCAGAGATATGGACTTAAGATGAATTTTATTTGTCCAGACTACTCCTCTTTCACCTGTTACTTTTCCAATTTCAATGAAACTTAACAGGATTATTTGGTAGCTCAAGTCCTTGTGCTAAGTTGCGCATATTACACAGGTTTTCCATTTAAATGATTTTTTGCTGAGTTGTGGCCCTTGAACAAAAAATGTGTTTGGCCTATTACTGTATACAGTATAATTAAAATGATTTTTGTGTTGTCAGCTGCAGAGAAGCTGTCCGGACAACTGCTCAGAAACTACTGGTGCAATATTAAACTTTACTTAAACAATCAGTTCCAAGTTGTCTTCATTTTCTGGTTCAATGTTTTTTTGTCAGAGTTGTGACCCTTTAATGATTTTTAATTATTGAAGTTTGTCCAGACTACTCCTCTTATACCACTAACACAATTTCAATAAACTTTACCTAATTGATCAGTTACTGTAGCTTTAGTGCTTGTGCATATTACACAGGTTTTCCACTTGAATGATTTTTGGCCGAGTTATGGTCCTTGAGCGAAAAATTTTGTGTTGCCAGCTACACAGAATCTTGTCCAGACTGCACCTCAGGGGAGCAGCCCTTGAATAATCTCTGCTTTATAAGATTAAGTCTGAAACTTATGTGATGTTTACTTTGTTGGCTTATATGCATGACATTGCAAAGCTTGCCCAGCATCTATGGCACACTAGTTTTTCTGGAGTGGCCCATACTGGTTGGAGTGATAACTCCAACACATATATAACCCCAACACTTGTTGTTATTGTTTTTTCAGCAAACAAGCATATGGTCACATACTGATGTAGTAATAAAGGAGCAGGACAGACTATGATGATCTTTTTATACCCCCACCACAAAATGTAGGGGGGGGGGGCTATAATGGATTCGCTTTGTCGGGTCGGTCAGTCTGTCCGTCCGTCCATCTCCACTATCGTGTCCGCTCTATAAATCCTGTACCAATTGAAGGATTTTCTTCAAACTTGGCTCAAATGTTCACCTCAACAAAGGGGATGTGCAGAACCCATGTTGCCCATGTGTCAGCTCAAGGTCAAGGTTAAGATTAAGGTCAAATATCAAACAATCAAATATTAGACAGTATGTCGTGTCCGCTCTGTAAGTCCTACACTAATTGAAAGATTTTCTTCAATCTTGGCTCAAATGTTCACCTCAACAAGAGAATCTGCAGAACCCATGTTACCCTTTTGCCGGCTTAAGGTCAAAGTCACACTTGAAGGTCAAAAATTGACTTAGAAAATGTTCTTAAATTTTAACATGTACTTGAATATTTCTGAAACAAGCACAGGTATTTGCTTGAAACTTAAAAGATATATGTGGTGTCACAAGTACGATATGCAGGTCAAGTTTCATAACTATGTATTGCTTTTTGACAAAGTTATGCCCCCTTTTAAGTACAATCAATACTAGACTATATGTCGTGTCCACTCTATAAATTCTATACTAATGGAAGGAATTTCTTCAAACTTGACTCAAATGTTTACCCCAACTGGGCAATGTGCAGAACCCACTCTTACCCTTGTACCATTTTTATGTCTTTAAATTTATTTACTATAATTGTAATATTTCTTAAACCAGAACAGATATTTTCTTGAAACTTAAAATTTATATGAATGGTTACAAGCAAGCTCAGATGTTGAAAATTCTACAATTCCATTGAATTATGACACAAGTTATGCCCCTTTTAGGCTTAGAAAATGTTCTGATATAACCATTAATACTTAAATGTTTCTGAATTCACTTGTAACTATATAATATTATATGAAGGGTCACAAGTAAGCTCAGTATGCAAGGTTTTTCCACTCTTAATTACATTTTGACATAATTATGCTATTTTCTTAACTTCACTGCTTTTGTTTGTTTAAGTACATTAGGAAAATGAAAGGTTATTTGTAACTGTTTCGAACATGATTTGACAATATATATTTATACTTTTTCCTGTACAATTTGTCTTTTTTTCACCAGAGATAATTTCTTTTTATCTATATGTATTCCCTTAACCACCTTTCCAAGTTGTCTTCTGTCAAGGACATTGGTGGGGGTATGAATCGCATTCAGCGATAGTTCTAGTTAAATTTGGTAAACCTTTAAATGTGTGAAAAATTACCTGAAGTTTTTGTATACAAAACCTGCCTCAAAACATTCTCTTTACCATAGTTAGTTTGAATTGTCTAGACCACAGGCAACTGACTTGGGGAAAGATTTTTGAAAAAATGATTTAAATATCAACAAAATTAGATAAAGCATATAAAATGTAAATATAAAATAATGATGCTGACTTTCCAGTTACAGTTTGTATTCATTATTCCAAAATTAAAGTGCTAACTTTATGTAAAAGGACCATGTTTTAGATACCTCTCATAAAGACCTCGAAGAAGTACCTGTTTAAATTGCCATATATATGTATTTTGTAGTCAATGTTTTAGATATACACAATGATAAATAAGATATTGAAGAAAAAAAATGAGGTTGGGTGTAGGAGTTATCTCTCTAACCAGTATTGTCAATAATTATATATAAATGAGGCTGTGATTTTGACCATACCTGCCACTCAACCAGTTTTTATATAAAACTTGACAGCATAATTTAAATAAGAAAAGTTCAAGTTGCCCTAAGCTTATGATGGCTCTTGTTGTAGGGGGTATGCATCACATCCAATGATAGTTCTATTTTATTTTTTTTTCGCTGTTTACCACATTTCTGAAAAGCGAACCAGTTATGAATATTGAAGTATTTTAGAAAAAATACAACTTAACCCCAAACCTGTTGGAACCAAAAGGTGATGAGCTTTTGCAACCAGCATATAGCTGGTGGCAATCTGAAAATCTGTGCAGTTTTACAAGGCTCCAGTCCGACACTTACATTCAAGAAATTATGGTTGAAGAAGTTTGTTACTGATCCTGCCTTATAATAAAGTAACATTTTTTCTGACAGAAAGACATATATTTTGTGCAAAAATACAATACATATCTTAGACTTACAAATTAACCTAACATCTTTTATTTGGTACTTGAATTAGATTTATTATATTGCTATTTTTCTTTTTCAGGACATGTTGAGGACAGTAAGAGATAATTCAAAGGATTATGTATGTATAGATGAGAAGCATAATTCATTCTTTTAAATTTATAATAATTTTTTTTCTCTCTGAAACTGCACTGTGTAGGTTATAGAAAACATATTTTTAGATCATGACCATATGTTATAAATTATGTACTAGATATTGAAATCCAATCAACGAAGTGTTTAAATTCTCCATTGAAATGGAAATCAATTATCAATGTTGAATTTGGTGTTATTTTATAAAAGGTTTTATTTTATGATGAATAAAAGATATCAATCAACAATCATAATACATTAATACATGCATTATGTAATTTCATGAAACAGTAACATTGCATACAAAATTTCGCAACTTTATCAGTACATTAGGGAATACAGATATCAGTGTTTGGCGTTGCGTTACGCGTATGTAAGTGTTATTTTATGCTAAAGATAGAATTTTAATTCACGTCATGAACAATTTAGTTCAGCAATCCTATTCCGGAAACTGTAGACTTATTCTATGTAAGCCTAATGGTTTTCCCGCTGTAGTTTATTACAACGGGACCTGTTATATTGGATTCCACACTGTATCTAATAGACCAATAACCTTTTGTGACAATTTCAAGTATATTTTCTTTGTAAGTGTAGGGAAAGGAATCGAATTAACTGACAGTCAATTATGGTTGAATGTTTCTCTTAGACATTTTATTTTGCTTTTATCCCAGTTTATTTGTGACATTATATAGGTTGCGGCCCCTCCACATCTGTCAGTCAGGATTGAATTGATTTCATATAGATTTTTACACTCCTGCTAAGAATCAAGACAGGTGATCATAAATTTTATTAAAGGTTTCTGTAGATTGTGACATTCATTTGGTTGTTTGTCACAGAGTAGTAGACTTTTAAGTGAACTTAATTTCCAGATGTCAGAAATACATATCACAGAATAAATGTAATAATAATTATTATACAATAGACTTAGATTGCTTGTTTAAGACATCATTGAAAAGTGGTATAAAATGGAAAGTAATAGTTAGTGGGGAAGTCTTTTGGGGGGGGGGGGGTGCATGGTGTTGCTTGAAACATTGATTGAAGAGGCTTAAAAAAATCATAATACACATTAAAAAGAAAACATCATGGCTGCCGTAAAAGTTAAGGTAGAGCTAATATGATAGAGTAAATAGTATTACTTTGAATGAAATACTGATAAATTAATTTTCATAAATAGTGGTCAGAATCAGAGCTTTTTTCACAGAAGGGGAAAGGGCCCTTCCCTTAAATTTGGTGGAAAATAACACAGTATTTTTAGGGGAAAACTGCATGAATTAAAAAAAAAAGAAATTCTTGAGGGGAGTGGCCTCTGCTATAGAATGAAAGGAAAACCTGAGAATTGTTTGTCAGATATACTGAACTTCTTAACTGCTTATGCTTTTTCAGGGCCCATTATAAGTTAGATAGACAAATTTTTTAAATATCATTTCTCATTGGCTTATGATAAATTATCACCAAACTTTGTATTTAGTATCTGTTTTCTGATAAATGAAAATACTAAATGTTTAAATTTTAGATCTTAGAATATATATAATTCATTTAATTTTGTGAGATTTTAATATATTGGCCTGGCTTTATATTGAGCCATTGATTTAACTATCTTTTTATATCTTCTTTGTATTGCCAATTAAAACCACTATAATAACACTTTTATAGGTCTCTCTGGCAGTGTTGTAAAGGTCTGTAAGTTTGAATCCTGGCAGGGACATACTGTTGTTTCATCTATTGAAGCTACAATGACATTATCTATTCTGACAGAAGGTTTGTTGTTTTTACTCAGGTACAGTACACACATTTGCTTGAAAGAGCACTGGGATATCCCACCTGTAAATACATAAAATCATACTTAAAAGCTAAACAAAATGTTTGAGTTGTTTCCCTTTAATCAAAAAAATATTTTTTCTGTCCATAAGATAGTCACATTGTTTGTATCAGAGTAACATTGATGATTTAAATGGAGCATAGCTTTTGATAGTAAATGAACTTATTTGACTAATTGACAGAAAGTTTGTTGGTTTACTCAGGTGCACCTTTGTGTCAGAACTACTATTAACAAAAATGGTTCAGATGTTTCCCATTTGTCAAAAAATAAATATTTTCTTTTATTAATAGGTAATTTAGCATTCAGTGAATACAATTCCAGTATGACAGTCATAAAGAGTTCTTGTTGAATATGGTTCTTGGCAGGAAATGAAGGTAAATTAAAATGTATCTCTAAAATCGGGCAAGCTTCGCTTCTCCAAAATAAGTCTTCTGTTTAAATTGTTTTAAAAGAAGTATTCCAATGTGTTCAAAGGTGAGTTATTGTGATGACAGATAATGATTGTCTGTTCCTCCTTGTCCATCGTTTATCAAATTTCTTCAAACAACATCTCCTAAACTACTTGGTGGATTTTGACCAAACTTTACAGGAATAATCCTTAGGTGGCCCTCTACAATATTAATATAAATGGTTCCAATCTGATGTATAATAATAGGTCAAAGAAGCTAAAAATAGCATTTAAAAATTGAAATGTTTAAACATCTTTGTCTCAGAAACTACAATGCCCAAGGCATAAATATTTGGCATGAATTAACATTTTAGTTATATATGTACAAGTCATTCCCCTTGGGTCAAAATTACTTTTATTTTCACTGTATAGAAATAGTCTTCTTGTGCCCAGAGCTTAGATGTATGGCATTTAGCATTGCTTGGGTCCTTTACAAAAATGAAATTTTAATTATGATCATGGGGTCAAAAAAGGTCCAGCTTTGGGGTCACTCAGTTTAAATAGACTTATATAATAAATCATTTCAATCTTATTGTGTGAAATTACAATTCCTAAACTCTGATGTATTTCCTATTAGACATCTACAATTGTTTTACATTTTTTTCCTACATGTAACTTAGATAAAAAATGTCAGTCTTATCCCTGGTTAGGGATCCAGGGCTATCATGACCCCCTGTTTACTCACACTGTTTAAAACTGGACATGACCAGCCCTTGCCACCAGTAAAGAGACATCTCTGCTGTCAGACAAGGGTCTATATTTTTGGCTGACAGACATTATGATATACTCAACAGTTCTAAAATGGAGTGTAAGGGATACTTATTATGTATCTTTTGTTAAATTATGAATCTTCCTCCTGTTTTAATCATTTGATACTTGAAGATTTATTATTTGTATGATTTCCATTCTTTTCACAGAAAACATTTCCTGCAAAACAATAAAATAAAGAATTAATTCATTATCAAAAAAGCTAAACCTAAAATGCTTATATCAGAAAAGATTTGGTTTAAAATAGCATAAGCAGATTCATTCTTTTAATGGCTTTCAGAAATTTATTTCCTATAGTCTTTTTCAAAATAAGAAGAATTTGCATTTTTTTCATTTACTTTTATGTTTCATATATCAGAACATGATAGTTAATGAGTTAAGTTTGTCTTTGAAAACTGTTTGTTTATTAGAAACACCCATTTGGTAATAACATAATGAGATGTAATAAAAATATCTGTCATGATGACTCAGCAAAAATTGAAAATCACAATTTGTGTTATTGAATGAATGGAATCAAATTGCAGAATAAAATTCAGTTTGACAGTCTGATATATCCTGAACTGTTTAAGGGGAAAAATATGTGATAGAGAAATAGTTTGTGATTAATATTTCCATATACATACAAGTTTATAACTTCAGTTTTTAATTAGAGTTGACAACAGTCATTTTACTTTAATAATAATTTATTGTATATAGATCAACACACAATATACAATTTCACAAACATAATGAAGTGTACATCCAAAAGGGTTGGGCCATAAGTTCTAACAAAAAAAACAAAAAAAAAAGAAACAAAAAAAATAAGTTCTAACAACATTATCGTCCGTCCTTCCCTGAAGTCATTGACTTTGTAACCAGATTTTGTTCACTTAACTTTGATATACATTTTGGCATGTTAGTTTTATCTAATATACCTATCTTGTTATCACCCTCCGGGGGGATATGGAAATAGTCTCCCTCTGTCCTTCTGTCCCACATTTTTGTGCGGAGTATATCTCAAAAAGTATTTGAGGTATCAACTTGAAACTTCATAGGTGGAATAGATCATATTGTAGAGAAGTGCAATGCACAAGAATGCTAACTCTACCCTGCATAATTTTTCAGTTATTGCCCTTTGTTATTTTTCAAACTTATTTTTTGTCCAGAGCTTTACTCAAAAAGCCATGAAACTTCATAGGTGGATATATCTCACTCAGGAGGTGTGCAGTGCACAAGAATGATAACTCTACCCTTTATAATTTTTGAGTTATTGCCCTTTGTTATTTTTCATACTTAATTTTTCACCTGTGTGGAGCATAACTCAAAAAAGTCTGAGATGTCAACATGAAACTTCATAGGTGGATAGATCTTATTCAGAAGGAATGCTGTGCGCAAGAATGATAACTTTACCCTTTATAATTTTTGAGTTATTGCCCTTTAATATTTTTCATACTTTTTGTCTGGGCTTATCTCAAAAAGTGTTAGAGGTATCAACATGGAACTTCATAGGTGGATAGATCTCATTGAGGAGGAGTGCAACACACAAGAATGATAACCTACCCTGCATTATTTTCCAGTTATTGCCCTTTGTTATTTTCAGCCATCAGTATTCACATAGGTTTCAAATCTGTAATCACTTCAGCCATCAGTTTTTATTACCAAAAGACCTCTTTAAATTGATTTATTCTGCTCTACTATATAAACATTATTCCAATGAGCAAACACATTTTGAGGGGGATAGCCATGTTAACATGGCTCTTAACAGTTAACTGTAAAGGTCAGCCAAGCCAAAATACTTAAGTCTACCTGTTGAATTTGTGCAATGGAATTGCCTTCCTACATATTTGGAACAGTCTTTTCAAAGTATTAGGATTTTAATTTTAAAGTAAAAGATTGAGTTACCAGCAGGACACAGCCCTTTTAGACTTTACAGATTATGCAGACAGACCAGGCTCTTAGTCTATAATGGTGGCAAAGGTTTCCCTTTCTTTAAAATACAAAAAGAATTTATGATATACATTTTTTTTATGAGGGGAGTATTTCTTTTGTTTTTTGGTTTTTGAAATTATTTTTTTCTTTCAAATTTTTTTTTTAAAAAGGGGAAAATTTTTCCCGGGAAGATTACATGAAAAAATTTCAAAAAAATTTTTAAAAAAAGGAAAAAAGGGGCCAAAAATTACCCTTTAAACCCCACTGTAGACGGGACTCTGTTTTTTGTAAAACGGGTTCTAATTTTATCATTATTTTTTCCCGGGCTAGTTTTTTAAGTTTAAAAATCCCACAACTAATTTTATTCATACTGGGGGGAAATTATTTCCCCTTTGTCTCGATCAAAATTAATTTACTTTTTTACAAATTAAATTTAAAATTAGTTTTTTGTTTTAAATTTTTAGTTTTATATTTGATTATAGAATGTCATTTTCAACATTTGGTTTTCTATTACACTGTTTAATAACTTACACTAATGGTTTCATCAAAATAAATAAAATGACAGTCTCTTGAGGCATAGTATAAGGAGAAATAAAGTTGAAAAAACAAACTGTTAATTCTATACACCCTGAAGATGTTGCTTAACATATGCCGGGGAATAAATCTTAGAAGATCTTTTTACTTTTTGACGCCTGTCATCTTTGAGTTAGATTTCATTTTCAATGTAATTTAATAGCCACTTTCTAACTTAAGCAATTCTGTAGAAAATTTTTCTTTATGTTTCTAAGTGCCAATCATAGCTATTAATTTGCTTTGTTCATTACGCGATAGTACTCAAGAAGAAGTTCCATCGAAACTGTAATTATAAGAAATAGTGAACAGTGCCCGAGATCAATAATCATTTTAATCAGAGTGTATTACAAACCCTTCTCATTTCATAATCACCCATACGACTGCGAGAGGCGATGTCATAAAATCAAGGCATTTACTAGTTGACGCATGTGAATTACTGGAAATAACTTCCCTTATGGGATGTTGGTCCAGATCGAGTTACGTTACAAATACGTACAAATAAATAAGCGCTTCTGGAAAAAGGTAATCATAATTGGAAGGGGACATCTTGCGTATGTAATGGCGTATGTTTTTCGCTGTAAGACAGGGAAACTGAAGTTTATGACGATTGTATAATTTACTTTTTACGCTTGTAGCGGACAGTTTCTGGAATTAGACAATATTATTTTATTATTTTATGATATATTAGAACAATTGATCATATATTCTTAGTTGGATATGTGATGTTTGATGATGTTTTATTAAAGTTTGGATAAATACTTTATGATGTATTAGATACATAAGCCTGGTGTGAAATAGTTATATCTCCTTTTTTAGCTCACCTGAGCACGAAGTGCTCAAAGGTGAGCTTTTGTCATCACTCTGCGTGCGTCGTGCGTCCTTCAAAAAATGGCGTCAAACTTTTCAAAGAACATCTCCTCCTAAACTACATGGCCAATTGCAACCAAACTTTTCAGAAATGATCCTTAGGTGGACCCCTTTCAAAGTTGTTCAAAAATTTAAATTCCATTAAAAACTCTGGTTGCCATGGCAACCAATAAGAAAAACTTAAAAAATCTTCTTCTAAAAAACCGTAAGAGCTAGAGCTTAGATATTTGGCATGAAACATCTTCTAATGAGTGCCTACCAAGTTTGTTCAAATCAAAGCCCTAGGGTCAAAATTGGCCCCGCCCCAGGGGGTCATTGATTTTCCCTATATGCATATAGTAAAAACTTAAAAAATCTTCTTTTAAAGAACTCAAAGAGCTAGAGCTAAGATATTTAGCATGAAACATGTTCTAATGGGTGTCTACCAAGTTTGTTCAAATAAAAGCCCTGGGGTCAAAATTGGCTCCGCCCCGGGGGTCATTGATTTTCCTTATATGTGTATAGCAAAAACTTAAAAAATCTTCTTTAAAAAAACCCAAATAGCTGGAGTTTAGCTATTAAGCATGAAACATCTTCTAGTGAGTGTCTACAAAGTTTGTTCAAATCAAAGCCCTAGGGTCAAAATTGGCCCCGCCCCGGGGGTCATTGATTTTCCTTATATGACTGTGTATAGCAAAAACTTAAAAATCTTCTTTGAAAAAACCCAGATAGCTAGTGTTTAGATATAAAGCATGAAACATCTTCTAGTGAGTGTTCTACCAAGTTTGTTCAAATAAAAGCCCTAGGGTCAAATTTGGCCCCGCCCCCGGG